ACTTTTTGGGAATTGGGTACCAACACAATTGATTACATCATTATTTCAACCAATGAGTTTAACTTATTGGACTCATTTTAGGTGATAATGAACAGTCCAGATGGTGGTCACCTTCCATTGACCCTGGATTTATAGTTTCCTCACATCTGCATATATCTTGACAAATTTCACCATACTGATTCAGAAGGGATGCATTGCAATGAGGATCAAATGAATTAATAGGTTGAATAAAAGTTATGCATTTGTTCCATTCACACCAGATATAACAAATTTCATTTAAACTATTGTAATGAATGAGGGACCACTAATTTAGCAAAGTTTAAATTTTTGACTTGAAGTCTGTAGAGCCCCCTGCTGGAAGTCAGAGTAAAGAGCTCACATCCTAGGACATAGGCAACCAAGATCTAAATCTTGGTTTAATCTAGAATAAGTGCGCATTTAAAAATAACATATTAGCTCCCGTCCCCTACTTTGAAAGAACTGAGATCAGAACTTTGTCTTATACTATAAAACTGATAGACAGACAATTGAAGATCAATAGAAAAAAGAACTTATTAATGGAATCTTTAATTTACTTACAGAATTTTTGCCTCAAAATGTACAGGTTATTCCATTATAGGCAAACTACCCATTACAATTTATTAATCTTTATCCCAATTTCTATTGCTGCTTTTGCTAAAAATGATTAGCACAGAAATCCTTCTTCCCTAGTAGTGGGTTCGCTACCAGTTTGGAACTGTGAGCTCAAATACGTGGCTCTTCTGCGCATGTGCACAACCCTTGCGCATGCGTAGAGCATCCATGATGACATCCGGGTGGGTGGGCAGAGCCTCCCACCGCCACCACTACCAGTTCGCCTGAACTGGGGCAAACTGGTAGAAATCCACCACTGCTCTTCCTCCAAAAAAGTATGACAGAGATGCTGTACTAAGTATATTTTAGATTACATTTGTGTATTTTGAACTAGGACTGCAGTACAGATGGATTTATTCAGAGTTATTAGTCATGAAGGCTACCAGGAGCTTTCAGATTCAGAAACTTCACAAATATTTTGAAATTAGAACTTTCATGGAGAGTGGTCCAGATATCAGTTATTTTCATCTGTATCTATGATTTTCTATTGCCTCCTCTTTTTAAAAATCATGATTAATTAAAGAAGGCAAACACTGAATTGCATTTTTTAAAGATTTCTCTTACATCTGGAACACCCATTTTCTAAACCTCACTCTACTATCCCAGTGTTGATGCAAAAGATAGATGCCTTTAGCAAAATAACAGATTACTCTACTATTGGTCCAAATCAGAATTGATGCCAATAAGTTAAGTTACCCATCCATTTAAGGAATATTAATTCTGCATTTTACCATCTCCATTAATTATCTTGGTATGTGCATACTAAAGAATATCTCGGTTACTAACACATAATTTTAATTATATTAAATAAATAAAATATATAAAGAGATTTCCTCAGAAATTGATTTACAGAAGTAATTAAACCTTAACATAACCCTTTCTGGGGAAAGGTAAATGCTGTCAGAATGAATATTATTCTCAGATTAATTATATTCTGAAAGGAATTTCAGTTTATATACCTGGAAAACATTTTCAGAAATTATATTTCCTGTTTAGAAAATTTTTATCGGTTTTTCAATTCAGAGAATAATAGAAAACTCAGTTACGAGTTAATGAGGGAGGGTTTAGCTTTCCAAATCTGGAGCTATATTATCATGCTTACCTATTGTCAAGTATTAAATATTGGAAGTCAATAATCATTGTTAGTTTTCCAATTGGGACAACTTTGGAACATACACATATAACACCTTTGGTTGGATGGACAGTACTAGCATCTAAATATACTAAAAATCTACTATCTCTGGAAACAATTATGTCAATTAGAAAACTCTCAATGTGTAATAAATATTTCACCCTTTTTCTCATGCCAATTTGACTTTATGGGAAAACCTAACTTCAAAAATTAGGAAAAAGATGGTAGTTTAGAAAAATTGAATAGAAACTGTGATGTTGTCTTTAGACCAACTGATAGATATTGAAGATGAATTTTGAAGATAGCAGTAGCAATAGCATTTAGATTTATATACCGCTTCTCAGTGCTTTACAGCCCTCTTTAAACGGTTTACAGAGTCAGCATATTGCTCCCTACAATCTGGGTCCTCATTTTTCCAACCTTGTAAGGAGCCAGTGAGACTCAAACTGCCAAAGTGCTGGCAGCCAACAGTCAGCAGAATTAGCCTGCAGTACTGCATTCTAACCACTGTACTACCACAAAATACTCTGTGTTAAGAGACAAATATAATCTATCACATGGGTGCCAAACTCAATCGCATCCTGGGACGTATTGCGATGTATCACAATGTTTTTTGCCTTTGTGGAGCCGGGGTGGGCGTGGCCTGCACGTGACACATCTGGCCCGCAGGCCACCAGTTTCACTCCTGATCTACCAGATATAACCCAATAGCAATATTTACAATTACAACGTTTGTTAGCCACTTTGTTTGGACCAGTAGCATTATAGCTTCTGAAACACTTGGGATACTAGAACAACTATTAAATCCTTTAAAACTAAAATACCTATTAGTTTATATATATATATGTTATCAAAAAATTAATTTGATATGCAGATGTTTAGTAATGAGTGAAATAAAGTATTAGTGGTTCTTATATTGCCTAGACAATGGGTGTTTAACTTTTATAGCAAGTGTAATGGGCCTCAAATTATTTTTTGCACAACAAAAAACTTTTAAAACTTATTGGACATTTTCAGAAGATAATATTCTTTTGAACTATATACAGGTAGTCCTCAATTTACAAACACATTTAAGCCCAAAATTTCTGTTGTTAAACAAGATGTTAAATGAATTTTGCCCCATTTTATTACTTTCCTTGCCGTAGTTGTTAAGTGAATTGCTGCAATTGTTAAGTTGGTAACGTGTTTGTTAAATGAATCTCGCTCCCCAATTGACCTTGCTTGTCAGAAAATTGCAAAAGGTGATCACATGACTCCAGGACACTGTAACTGTCATAAATATGAGTCAGTTGCCAAGCATTCAAATTTTAATCATGTGACCTTGGTGATGCTGCAACAGTCATAAGTCTGAAAAATGGTCATAAGTAACTTTTTTCAGTACCACTGTAACTTTAAATGGTCACTAAATGAACAGTTATAAGTCTAGGACTATCCATACGTAATACATGATATTTGAGACTCAGATGATTGTCCATTTCCTTTTATGACTAAAAGACTGATATTGTAGTTTTGGGAAAATAAATGCATGGTTCCATTTATTCAATAGATTGAAGATCTGATTGCACTTGCCACTTATAAGCATATTGCCTGTAGATGTAGACTTTGTATAAACAAGCACAGATTGCCCTCTCTTAACAACCAGACCCCACAAAAACTACTTATGATACTGTTTCTGAAGTTACAGCTTCTGCACTGCCCTCAGTGGTCATTCGCCTTTACAACTAATTGCAGGAATGTGTAGCATCCCCATCTCTCTCACCCCCATCCCAATTTACTAGGCCTGCTCCCCACTTCCCATCACCCATTGCACACTTATCTTTTGAAGATCACAAAACCTCATATTGGGAAAGGAGGGCAGACCAGTTTTCCCAGGCCATGTGGCTGACTCCTGGAAATGGCCACCATTTTTAGTGTGCCCACAATTACTTGTGGTTACGCTGAAATGGTGGCCACTTCTAGGATGGGCCATTCCATTCTGTTTTCCTAAACCGCTCTATGCAGCACTGTGGAAGCTCTGGAGCTTCAGAGATCTTCAAAAGGTAAGTGCACTATGGGTAATGAGGGTGGGATGGAGGCCCAAACCCTGTGGGGACCAAGTGAGGGTGAAAAAGCCTGAGGGGACCTGGCATGGGAGAGAAAAGGCCTGCAGGGATCCAGGGGAGGGGTAATCAATAATCAAGGAACCACCAAGGAGAAAATGGCATCCCTACCAACACTGGTAGGGCAAGTTACTGTATATAAACAGAGAGCAAACCCCACACTTACAAGCACTGACGATGTTACCTAGTCAGGTAATTAAACATCTGCAAGTAAAATAACTCTACATCTGGTAAAATTCAGTGAATGCAAAAACCATTTTTATTTTATTTTATTTTTTATTTTTTTTTATTTTATTTCTATAGCTGTACATCTTAACAAGTGACTCTGGGAAGTGTATATCAAATATACTGAGTAGTTGCTGAAAAGCAAGTATAACTATGCATGGACATACAGGTAGAGGCATGTGGGAGCAACTTTCCAAGCAATCATACTAGGCTATGAGACACTACTTTGTGAGTTAATAAGAGGTGTTTCCCGTTTCCTTCTTGCTCCCATGCGTGGAGAAGTACCTCATTTGAATGCTTTACACAGCTCTATTAACAATTACCTTCACAGCTTGGCTATGGGCTTTCTAGGTGCCAGCTATGGAAACAGGACTTTGCATTAATAAACTGTTGAACTGATCCTGTAGGCCTCTTATGTTCTTAAGTAATTACTCTAAGAAAATTAAAGCAATTAATCCATTCAAAAGAATGCAATGCACGTACAGTAACAGAAACATCAGAGCACTGTAATTGATATGAGCTGTATATAAAACTTTTCCTAAAGTAATTATTTGTTTGTTTGTTTGCTTGTATACCACCTTTATTATTTTAACAAATAACTCAAAGTGGCAGAAATATCCAAAACCCTCAGTTTTTTCCCCCACAACAACAACCCGGTGAGGTGAATTGGGATGAAACAGAGTGACTAGCCCAAAGTTGCGCAGCTGGCTATCATGGCTAGAACTCACAGTCTCCTGCTTTTTAGCATGGTGCCTTAACTACTAGACCAACCTGGCTCTGATAATATTCTGAATCTTTATAGTTTAAGAGTAAAGAAGAAGCAACAAACTTCCAGTTTGTTGAAATATGAAAGCAAACAATCAGCAATAATAAATGCATATATTAAATGCATGTAGGAGGGATTTTTTTACCTGGGCAGATACTAAGATCTGACGTAGTTCCTTCTTCAGATCACTAAAACGATCGTGATAGATGGCCAAGGCCCAAGGTTCCTTAAAGTAGCTGGTTAAAAAAGACAAAATTTAGTTACCCAGTGTGCCTCTCATTAACGGCTAATAAAGTGTTTACCTGCTTTTTTTGCTTTCATAAATTACAGTTCTGGACCCATCATGATAGTTTGTTCATAAAATGCCTGCCATAACAGCATGGTCAATCAATTCTTTTAATGGATGTTCCTGATGTACAGCCAGCTTCAGTAATTACATTTAAAGTGGCTTAATTCAGAGCTGTGGCAAGAGCCAGTGAAGAATCCTGATTTTATCAGAATTTAAAAGCCTGAAGACCTGTGAGGAGCTGTGTCTCCATTATCTGTTCTCATTTGAGAAAAGCAGATGGTAGGATTAACTGAACTTCTGCATAAACAAATTACATTTGTGTAGACAATGACACAAGTGTTGTTTATCATTTAGGTTTCTGGATTAATAAAGCCAGAAAACAGGCCATAATCATGTTGCAATATGTTCCTTGCACTAGTGCATTGCAGCTAAATTAATTTGTCAAACAAGGAAATCTTCAGTTTGTCTACTCTCAAAATTAAAAAAAAACCTATGGAAAACAATAATGTACAGATAGATATTTATGTAAATGACCCTACATTGTATGATAAGGCAAAGGCTAAAACTGAATACATTTTTAAAATAACAGGTAATTTACAATTTGATTCTTGAGAAGCCCTTTTACAACAGTGAAGTTCCTTTATACACTTAAATAATACAAATTTAAAGTATAGACAACTGAATTACTCTGGATGAAAGAGTTGCCTCTGAAAACCTAACAGCATCATGGCAAATAAGTCACTTCGATTGTTTTATAGAACTGGCAATTGTTGTTTTAAATAACTTACATAATGAAAAGCAAAAATGCTATGGCTAAAGTTATAAATCCTAAAAGGGACTTGATAATGGAAGCATAACCAGATATGGCCAAAAAAGAAAGCCAATTATTTAACAAGAATCAGCAACTTTAGATTTTCTTCATGGTTCAATAATATGTAATTTATGGACAGATATCTGTGAGGGTTAGGTTTGCTAGCTTCATCCTGCCATGTAGGCCATTCTTGTACTTAATTAGCTTTAATTAGTTCTAGTTTTCAGACTCATGCTAGGAAAGATTCAATTCTGTTGCTTCAAACTGATAGATCCAATATGAGATGCATGAGGAAAATATGGGATTTGGAGACTCAAAAAAGAAATAGGTTTTTTTTCCAATTTTGTGTTTAGTTTGTTTATCTAGGTCCCCTACTTTTTATATATGATGAAATAACCAAATGTTATTTTATTAGTTGCTAGAAAACACATATTTGTTCCGTGTATGGTTGCTGTCATTATCATTGTTGTTATTATTGATACTGTTAGCTTGAGTTTAATTTTAATCTTTTTTCTTTCACTTGTTTCTCAAATCCATTTGATTATCTTCATTAATTTTTTAAATTCTGCATTCAATCTACAATGGTACATTTTTTCCTGTCTTGCTGACCTGTCAGATGTCAATTCTCGATGCAAAACATTTTTGTAGTTTTTCAAATATAGAAACATTTATTAAATCATAGTTTGGTCATTAGGTGCACTCTTGTGGATTTGTCCATTCCTTCCTTCCTTCTGATTTCACCTCAGACTTGGTTCAAAAGGTAGAAGAGGGAACTAGAGGGACAGCCATACTGGACTTAATTCTCATGAATAGAGAAGAAGTGATAGAGGGATTTGAAACTGCAGTTGGGTGAGAGTGACTATGTCATACTGGAATTCTACATAATGCAAACATAAGCAATAGAACACTATGATATCAGAGTCTTAGATTTTAAAAAGAGATTTCAGAGAGCACTTGGGAAAGATTCCTTGGATGAAAATCCTAAAGGTGGAAAACAACTCATGAAGCTTGGGAAACTCTGAAAAATATGATCATAAAAACCTAGTCCAGCTCAATACCACTGAAAAAGAAAAACAAGAAATCCAAGAAGAAATCAGCATGGCTGCACAAAGACCTCTCAGATAAACTAAAGGACAAAAAGGACAAGTACAAAAAATGGAAAGAGAGACACATAACTAAGGCAGAGAACAAAGAATGAGGACAAGAAAATAATCAAGAAATACAGAGGAAAGCTAAATCTCAAGAGGAGTGGAGGCTGGTGTGAGATATTACAAATGTTATGATAGGTTTTTTAAAAAGAGGATAATTATTACAATTTAGAGAAATTGGTCAATGTTTAGAAACAGGCTGAACTGCTCAGTTCCTATTTTTGATCATCCTTTTCTCAGAAAGTAAATATAATGAGTTGAAGAGACATGAATGCAGTTAAAGTGGATGGAAAGATGGTTATAGAGTGCCTAAGGGCATTAATTGAAGTTGCTTCTCCAGATGCTGATGAGCAATTTCTCAGTCTGCTAAAAGAATTTGCTTCTGTATTATTTTAACTTCTAAAATATAGTATAGGTGTTCTTGCTAATTGAGGATAAACATTTTTATTCACAAAAAACTAAATATGAAGGATCCAGGAAATTACCAGGTGTATCCAGTCAATCTATTATCTATATTAAATAAAAAAATAAAAAAATAACAGAGTTGGAAAGGCTAACTGTAGGTCTTCTAGTCCAACCCCCATGAGACCTCATGCCATTTCAGACAAATGGCTGTCCAATCTCTTCTTAAAAACCTCCAGTGTTGGAGCACCCACGACTTCTGGAGGCAAGTCGTTCCACTGGTTAATTGTTCTCACTGTCAGGAAATTTCTCCTTAGTTCTAGGTTGCTTTCTTGTCCTGCCTTCAGATGCTTTGTAAAATACGTTGATCATGTGATCTTGATTCTATCCCTCTGTTAATGCAACCCCTAGGACTGCATTGGTTTTTTGGGCAGCTGCAGCACACTGCTGACTCATATTTAAGTGATTGTCCACTGGGACAGATAATAAAATTCAGTATGTGAAACAGCTTAAAAAGAATGCACCAATTATTTAGTGACAACATGAATTTGTTAAGAATAAATGATGTCAGATGAATTTTATTAATTTTAATTTTGAATTATATAACAATTATAATGTATATCAAGTCATGCTATGTTACATGGAGTTCTTGGTAGAGATGAGCAAAAATGTCAGGACTCATGACAAAGGTATACACTCCTAGCAGAGTGTAGCAGAATCACTCACAGAATAAAAGTCATTTCAACTGCCAGCTAAACAGAGCAGGCATCTATATTATAAAGTGACTGATGATACAGTGTCAGATAATGGGCTTCTCAGGTCAGATAGTAATCAACATGCTATTGAGAAAATGCTGAGAATCTTTTGAAGTACTAATGGTGTTTATTAATGGCTAGATTAAAGCTTTTGGGACACTTAGTTGCTGATGATGCAGGAAAAGAAAATCCAAATCTTCAATCACTGAATTACAGTAGGAATATGTACAACAAGAAGCATGAACAAGACAGAGAAAGATGAAATGAACTGACTATGCATTGATATCTCTTGATATCAGTGATTTGTAAAAGACCAGAATAGGAGACTTTCACTTAGAAGATTATACTATTTATACTATTAAGGACATGAAAAACAAAGAGGTTAAAAACAAAGAGGTGCTGTTTTCATAGTCACTAAAAATATGGTAAAGAGAATATTTGGGTTTAGGGAAGTCAATACCAAATAGTCTTTGCAGACAACTTTTTAGCATGAGGTTTATTTAGCAAGTTTATGCTCCAAATGATGAGAAGAAGAAAAGTTGGAGTCTACAGAAACCAAATTAACTATATTATATTAATGGTAGAGGAAGATGGAAGAGCTCTGTTATGATAGCAAAGATATCTAAGGACTGACTATAGATCAGCTCACAAACTGCTCATATGCAAACTATGTTTAGTTTAAAATCAAACTAAATAAGAACAAAGCCAACCATTGATGTGATCTCAAACAAATATCCATTATGCATAAGGAGAATATCAGGAATCACTTTGAAGTCTTAAACCTCGGTGATAGGAAACCAGAGGAACAATGTAATAAAATCATAGACATGTTAGGAATGAATATGAAGAGGCAAAGAACAAGAAATAAAAAAAAGCAATTTGGATGTAAGAATAAACTGTGGAAAATGGCAAAAAGAAGAGAAGCCAGAGCCAAGAAAGACAAAGATCTTAGGAAGAATTTCAGAAAGGCATCAAAAAAGAGAATTATATAATATTGCAAAAACATTATAGATGGAAAGAGACATGGTAAACAAGGAAAATCAAAAGATTTCCAAACTCAGAAGGAAGTTCCAAATTCAAACTATTACGCTAAAGAACGCCAATGGAGGGGGAGGAAAAAAACCTAAACCAAGTTGGAAGGAATATTCTGAAATTCTGTACAGTAGAGTTGCATTTTAGAAGATATTCCTTATTTATAAGAATATCTGGGAGACTCTTCAGTAAGAGGCTTTTCTCTCTCTTGCTAACGATCTGCTGATTTTGCTGCCATAGCTGGTTCTCTGGCAGTGTTACTCATTGGATTTGAATGGGATTACTTAGGAATGTCCCCAGACAACTTTTGGACAGACATGAACCCATCTAGATGTTCTTTTTTTCTTTTCCCATTTTATTTCTGTTGTTGTTTTGAATAATTTTCATTTTCCCTGCAGGGAAACATGGTGTGCTTTTTAATAGTGAAATGCTTTCATTTGATTTACATTAATATTGGACTCTTATTGCAGGGTTATTGCATTTTTTTGTATTTGCAAAATATTTGGAATTTATTTCTTTCCTTTTTTTAAATTTTGATTTATATGCCGCCCTTCTCCGGAGACTCAGGGCGGCTTACAATGTGCTAAGCAATAACCTTCATCCTTTTGTATATTCTTTTGAAATAAAGAAATAATTTTGATAGAAATATCCAGAAAATATCTTTCCTCTTTCTGCTTTGTTCCCTGATTAAGTTACACAGAACAACAATGTGTCAGATTACAGATAAACAAGTCCCCCCCGCTCCCCACCGAAATCTGAGAAAAGACTTTTTGGTTACATGCAATCTTGAAAGTATTTT